TACTTTGATTAATGAAAACATAGTTCCCATAGACCGTGGGTTTCATACTTCAAAGTTCCCCTGGATTTAGGACCTTAGGTTTTGCTTATTCATATAACATGCAGGAAACTATTTTTAAATGAATAAGGGAGTTTAAAAAAAAATTTTTTAAAAGGAGAATGTTTCAACATCGGTGGCACAGATAGGCTGGATAATAAGGAGCAAAATTAACAAACAACAGACATTTTTATTACGCATTTTACAATAATGTTTACATTCTTTTCTCTATATTTGTTTGTCCTTGAAAAGATTTATGTATTTATAAAAATATCTCGCTGCTCCAGCTCTGAAAATTGCAGCCTTGAAAGCTTTCAAGGATGGCTGTGATGGCTGGCCGTGCTCCTGATCATCCCCAATGCTTCTCCTGAGCCTGTTGTGCAGGAGTTTTTTGGGATGTGGGGATGAGAAAGAGGGCGGGATGGCCCCTAAGGATGAACCATCATTGCCTTGGCACCACCCTGAGTCTGTGGGACACGGGCAGTGCTTGGGCATCCTCCTTCCTTGGATCCATGGAGCATCCCTGAGCGCTCCCGAGGCTGCTCCGCTCCTCCAGCAGCTCTGGGATAAACAGGAATAAACTGATGTTTACAGCTCTGCAGTGCTGAGGAGACACCAGCAACCTCTGGGCCTCCTCAGCCCGGAGTTCAAAGGGATTTGGAAGTGTTGGATGCCTGTGGGAGCGGGTACCCGGCTGAAGGCTCCATTAATTAACTGCACTCACAGGATACAGAGCTGGTGAGTAATGTCCTGTTTATAGCAGAGCTGTGAGCCGCACTGGAAAAAAAAAAGGAACTCTGTGGGAGGGAAGATGACAGGGAGCAGAGTCACTCCAAAGGCTGGGGCTCCTGCCGTGCTTTCCAAAGGCAATAATTAACATTTACACCTTGGGGTAACTGTGTTCTGCCCCGTGGAAGCTGCTGGGTTGTGGGAGAGCGGGGTGGGATCATGAACACAGACACACCAAACCCAGGGCAGGTCAGGGGGTGCTGTTTCTCCACACTCAAAAATGGAATTTACCCCCCTTGGAGCACTGAGAGTGRCTGTTCTGTGTCCCCCTGGAGTCACAAAGTTATGGCACGGACGGGAATTGGCAGAGCCTGTAGGAAAGTTCAACCTTTGATGTTTGAGCGGGTATGGCACAGTTTGAGTCACTGCTGTGGGTGAGGATTTCCGTGTACTGGTTCTTCACACGCCCGTGGGGTTCCTGAGGTGTTTTTGGGCATCTCCCTGTGGTCACCAGCATGTCCAGAGCCTTCAAAGCCCATTCCTGCTCCTGAGAAGGAGGAGTAGGAGAGGTGATGGACAACCCCTTCCATCCCTCTTGGTTGTACCTCAGTGCCCACCATCCCATGGGGTCAAACCCTTTTATCAATTCAAACTCAATAAAGCCTTCCCCTCCTCCTCACTGCGTTCTTTTTGCTCACACCTATGTTGCAATCTGCAAGGTGAGGCTCAAAACTGTCCAGCTCTTTAATAGAACCATTGGTGTATTTTTGGATAATGTTCTCTTCTTGATTTACTGTTCCTTAGAAGACAGGAAATGGAGCTACTTGATTTCATATTTTAAACAAAGCCGTCCAGAGGTTTAATGAAAAAAATTTCCCCTGGCTTTCGAATTAAAGGGCTATGGTGAAAGATTTAGCTTGGCTATTTTGACTTAGAAAAATAACACGCTAGGAGCATTAAAACATTTTGTAAAAATACTTTTTACTACTAGATTTTTTTTTTTTTCAGAGAAGAAAGGTTTCTCTGGTTTTCTCACTGCTGGTTGGTGGGGCTGTGAAACAAAAAGACATTTCCAAGGTTTAGGGTGGTTTTTTTCCCCTTCCTTGTGTAGAATTTATTTTGCTTTTATATTAAAAGCCTTGAAACAATTACAATGCTGAAGACAAATCCTGTGTGTCTAAGCAAGGTAATTTGGGGTGAGTAATGACAGAAGCCTTTACCATTAATATAATGCAAGAAACGTTGAGCAGAAAGATGGGGACCTGATTCTGTTCCATCAGCAGTGGCAGGGGGAAGGGGTGAAGTTGGAAATAGTTTTCAGACAAAAATTGAAGTTTAAATAGGAAAATTCTGTGTGTGGAATTAGGGAATGGTGGGCATAGGGAATGGTGGTCATAGGGAATGGTGGACGTAGGGCAAAGCACCCAAAGGCTCCTGGGAGCAACCAGCCCATTGCCATGTCACACACTCCAGAGCCACTTCCCAAGGTGTAAAAATACCCAGGACTTAACTCTGCCTTGAAAAATTTATTTTACTCTGATATATGTGCTGTCTRCTGATGAACTGGCAAGACCAACAGGAAGGTCCATGGTAATTAATCTTGTTTTTCCTGAAACAGTTTTGTTTTACATCTGAGAGGGACAGAGCCAGGGATTCACAGGAGGAAAGGTCCTGCTTGCTCAAGCAAGGTCCCATTTTCTATCCCACATCCCAAATAACTTCGCTTCACCTGGAACCCTCTTTATCAATTTGTTCATTGAAATAGGGGGGGATTTGTGGGTTCCACGGGGCAGATGATGGTGCAAGGACCTCCCCTGCCTGTTCCAGACACGTTGCTCACCCTTGGGGTGCAGTGGTGGCTGCTGTGTCACAGCTGGATGTCAGGGTATCAATGGGCTGGCCAGATGTGCAACCACTACCACAGAGCACGAGCAAAGAATGAGGAAAGACGAAACCCCAGCCCTGCAGGTTTTTTACAAGCAAACTTTCAGTGCAGTTAATCCCTCCAMCCTGCATCTGCATTAACACTTGCAGCCTCACACGGTGCCGCTAAGAAGTTTTGGCAGCTCCTGGCCCTGATTGCAGAGGTAACGCTGCACTTGTCTCCTCTGCTCTCACTCAAGGATCTCAGGAGCCCGGCGCTCCATGAGGTTTYTCCCTGTGCACATAAGCAGGCATCTTGGCAGAGCTTCAAAAGCCATTTGCCTTATTATTCATATGGCTGCTTATAGGAGCAGAAACGCTCCCATTTCTCACTTTCGGAATAAGGGCAGACACCGGGAAAAGGGGAGATTTCTCATCTCTGCCACAGCCCTGCAGAGCTCATTGTGTCCCTGCTGCTTCCCTGGGGTTTGGGAAGCAGATTTGAAAGTCCACCCTGATCACTCTCAGGGTACACCAGCAGCTCTGTCAAAAACAACCWAAATCTGTGGGGTCTTGGAGTGGAGGTCTCAAGGTTGCAGGAAACTGTAGAAGGATGGCTTGGGGGGAAAAAAAACCACTTCATAAAAAGACTGAATTTTGCTTTTAGAAGAGCTGACATCATGAAAACGTTGCAGAGATTTAAACATCATCGAAATTACTTTGCCTCCCCCCTGCATCTTCTCAAGCTTCAAGAACGCTCGCTTTAAAACAAATTAGTAGRCTGGAGCAACCATATAAATCCAAAGAGCCATTAAAAGTTGAAATATTTGGTCATTCCTCCTGTCGTTTTGAGCTGGGATTCATCCAGAGTTCAAGTGCGTGCATCACACGAGAGCCACGGTCCCGTTTCTCGAAGTCCGTGGGGCGCTGATGGATTCCCAATGCCAGGAATCCGCCGGGCGAGGAGATAAATCAGCGCCGATGAAATTCAGGAGCCAGAAGTCACCGCCGCAGCCCATATAAATCCCTGAATGCCAGCCCTGGCGCTTTCGTCCGTGCCATTAGAGTTGGGAATTATCTGGCCCTCTTTGCTGATGGATGGATTAACCGGCCGGCCGAGTGTTTACCAGCGGTTATCAGCGGCTCCTCGGGCTCTTATCAGAGGAAGGGCCGCCTGCCGCGGGGCTCGGTCTCTCACCCTTTCTATTACCACCTGTCAGTGGCAGCGAGTGTGCTGTGAGGCTGCACAGTCACAGACCGCAAGTGTAGATAGTTTCTGACGGCTGATCAAAGGGGAAAACCAAAGGCCTGATAACAAGGACGTGTTTCATGTACTTTTAACTCGGAGAAACGTCGGCATTTGCATTTTTTCCCCCTCGGTAGGCTGGCAGAAACCAGGCGCRGCAAACGCTGCATATTCAGTTACCTAATAGTGGAGTAAATGGTATGTGCTTGAAGCAACAAAGCGTAACTGTAATCTTGTTCCAAGTGGGAATGATTTAAGTAAGCCTTCGCAGAAGACTTGCCCGTATAATAAAGGAGAATGGTTTTAATTTGTACTTTGAAGTGATCCTGAATTCRGAATCTAATCTTTGCATTCGGCAGAACATCCTACCCTGCCGTGAATGAGGTAATAACTGCGAGTCGAGGAATTATTTGAAGTGTCTTTTGGAGGTACGTGCGCTCCCTCACAAGAGCCAGAGCGTTCAGTAGGCACTGCTGGTGGAGGAGTCTCTGCTGGAGCACGTTTGACCTAAAAAGTTCCCAGTGCAGGAGCAGAGCAAACCCACAGATATCCCAGACTGAGGGAAGGGATCCATTTGTTCCTTCCTCAGACACGAGGCAGCTCTGCCACGCTGCTGCACTTCTCTGCACTTCTCACTTGCTCTTTCAGAGCAAGAAAGGGGTTTTAGCTAAAATTTCTGCACATTAGCAAAGATAGAATGACTGTTTCCGTGGCCAAGATGAGGAGGGGGAAGGATCGCAGCAGCCCAKTGGAAGACTGATCAACTTTAAAAATAATTTCCAGTTGTCTAACATAAAAACGTATGTACACCATTCACATTTGTGTTACTGTGCTGCTTTCCTGACTCTCCCCAGCATGAGACCGGAGTCGGGTCTGTATTTTAATTTTAATTTTAATTATTTTTTTGCTTACAGCTTGGTCAAAGCCAGTCYTTACTCGGGGTTCTGCTGCGCTGGTAACACCAACATTTTCACTTGGGTGCCAAATCCAGCGTTGCAGGGACCCGAAATTCAAGAGGGCTGTGCCAGGGTGTCCCACACTTGTCCCAACGTGTCCCACACGTGTTCCACACATGTCCCACTCGTGTCCCAATGTGTCCCACTCATGTCCCGTTTGTCTGTTGAAGGTGCCTTCGACCGGAGCGTGACCTTGCTGGAGGTGTGTGGGAGCTGGCCCGAGAACTTCGGTCTGCGCCACATGTCCTCCATGGAGCCCAGCGAGGAGGGGCTGCGCGAGCGCCTGGCCGACGCCATGTGCGAATCCCCCAGCAGGGACATGGTGGGATCAGGAACAGGTACAAAGAAGAGGTGTGATCAGAGATCACGTACATCTCACCCAATGGTGATTTTGATTTAATTTTTTTTTTTTTTTTAATTTCTCTTTCCCTTTTCTCTGTGCTCTCTGCTCTCTCTCTCTCTCTTTCTCTGATTAATTGGCTTTTGCGGGGCTCTCAGTGGGACGGAAGTCGTTTATAAAAAGAAATTAGTGGCAGATCACATAAACAGAGATACTGGCATGTGAAGCTTCCTTATCACAGAGCTGGGACAAGGGCTCTCCTCCCTCCCCTCCTGCCAGCTCAGGAGCATCCCTGTGCAGATTGCTGCCCTCGCCCACCCCGCTCCAAACAATGTCATAATCACACATATCCTCATTTTGTGTCCTCAATAGAGCCACTGTGAAGCRCTGGTTCTGTAATCCAAATTAATCCATCTTCATCAGTGTCCATTATATTGATAAATTGTATCATCTGTTTAAGTAAATGGAATGGCCCAGCAGAGATTGTGCTGTCAGACGGGGCCCCGTCGCGGGAGGTGCTCAGGAATTAAAGCGCAGTTATTGTCTCCATTCATTTTGGCTCCTTCCAAAAAACATCTCAGTAAAAACACCTCACAGTGCTGGTGGCTACTAACAGCAGCTGCCAGCTCACTTGTCACTCTCGTGGCAGCTTGCCAGGGGAGGCAGAAGAGGAGAAACCAGCAGGAAGCTGTGGCAATGCCAACCTAGGGCTCCTTCAGGAAGAGCAGGAGCTGTCTCTTCCTTTTACCCTTGCTCTTGTGTGTCACTAAGGGTGTTGTGCTGCTCTGAGCTCTTCCTGCTCCTCCAGAAGTGTCTCTCATTAGGGCTGACCCTGCATTCCAGATGGGGCAGGTACCAAACTTCAGCAATTTCCCCCAGCCTGGAGCAGGAGGGTGCAGAGGAGCAGGTTCCAGCCCTGGTCTGTAGGTGCAGGCAGTGACACCCAGGCTGAACAGTGCAGAAGCACCTTCACAACCCAAATATTCACCTTCYCAGCTGTCCCTCCCCTGACTGCCATCTTGAGAGACCTGAAATCAAAGGCTGTGTTGAGATTTGGTTTAACAGAAAGGCTTGGTTCAACACTAAACATGGGTCTGCTGCAGATCTGGTGCAAACCCTCTGTAGTTTTTGCCTTGGATCAGACATTTCACATGTCCACAGCTCCAGAGCTGCAGATCTGGTGCAAACCTTCATGAGTTTTTGTCTTGGACAAGACATTTCACATGTCCACGGCTCCATCAGTGCAGATCTGGTGCAAACCTTCATGAGTTTTTGGCTTGGATCAGACATTTCACATGTCCACGGCTCCAGAGCTGCAGATCTGGTGCAAACCTTCATGAGTTTTTGSCYTKGATCAGACATTTCACATGTCCACGGCTCCAGAGCTGCAGATCTGGTGCAAACCTTCATGAGTTTTTGCCCTTGATCAGACATTTCACATGTCCACGGCTCCAGAGCTGCAGATTTGGTGCAAACCTTCATGAGTTTTTGCCCTTGATCAGACATTTCACATGTCCACAGCTCCAGAGCTCCATCAGTGCAGTGAGAAGGGAGATGCCTCACATTGCTGGTGTGGACTTTAATCAGCTCATGTTCGTAAAGGGCTGGCAAGGTGGAAAGAGCAGGCTGTGAAAACAGAGAAAAGCACATATTTCATCACTTACTGCCCGTGCTGTGATCAGTGTGAACTTTGGGAGGGTATCCACTGCTGATAATGGGTCAGCACCCCTCAGGCTGTGGATGGAAGGGGAAAGGTGAGGGGGACACCTCCTCTGAAAGCTGAAGCCTTCCAGATGTGCCAGGTTAGGGTGACTGACTGCCCTGGAGCCCTGACAGTGCATTGTACTGCAAACCCACAACTTTGCCAAAGACAGAGCTGCAAATTTCCCTTCCATTTTCCCCAACCCCAGCTGATGGCAGCGARTGCCAACTTCTTTGGCGTAAGATGAGGCTCCCAGCGCTGCAGGTGTAAAGACAGAAAGGAGCTGTTTATAGAGATGCCATCAGTGAGTTAATATTCATCCAAAGGGATTTCTCCCAGCTCTTAGTGCAGAGCCATAAATCTCCCTAATGAGTGTAAGATAGATGCCAGCTCGGAGCAGCGATGTGCGCAGCMGTAATGAGTAACATGAGCACTGACCCAGCTCACCCCACCCCAGCCCTGCTCGCCCTGTCCTTAACACTCCGTGCTTCCCTGCCTGTYGGGGGACTCTCCCCACCACTCACACTCTTTATTCTCAGGATTTGGCCCTGTGGTGACTCAGAGCAGCAGAGAAAACCCGCTGATAAGGCAATGAACTCCCGTGCCCTTTCCACTTCCATCCCCTGACAGCTCTTGAGCTGCTCCTCTTTACCAGACAGACAGAAAAAGTTCTCTGCTGCTTTCAGATGTACCTGGAGGGCTGCACTCAGATGTACCTGGAGGGCTGCAYTTGCCAAGGGAGTGGGCTGGAGMTGGCTGCCAGCACCRTTCCTCGGKCTGGGCAGYRCAGGGAAGGGTTCACATCTTAATAAATGAGCAGAGATAAGCGTGGAGCTGCATTACCCTCACTTCAAAAAAGTCAGCTCAGAACAAGTAGGAGAGTTTTCATTTCCCCCAAACCACTGAGTGGATTATCTTTGAAAAAACTCAGTTTTCTTGCTCGGCTTCTCTGCTGCCCACTGACCACAGGGAAATGGCAGCAAAGAGTTGAGCAGAAAAGGACACTGGAGATTTGTTTGTTTGTTGGTAGCTGATTTCTATCTTGCTGCTGCTTTCAAAACCAGTGTTTGTATTTCTACGCTGGACCCAAAATTTAGGACTTTATAATCCTTTTAATAATCCTAAATTAATTTATTTAACTTATCCCTCCCTTTTTGTTACACATGCTTTAACCCCAGTTTGTGCTCCTTGGATTCTCTTCAGCCCTTAAATAGATTTTGCAGAGATTTAACAAAACCTGCAGAATCTTGCTTGAGCTACAACACAAACTAACAAATATTTCTGACTGGGAATGTGAAGATTTGTGCCTGTGCAGCACTGGGGCCTGACGTGTGGACAAAAACTGGGCAGTGGGSTGGACAGTGAGGCTTTGTCAGGCGCTCAGCCGGTCCTGACATGCACTTAATGGCAAGAGATAAATAGATTCTTTTAATGCCTTAACTGTTAGGGCATAGCTGACACGTAGATTTATATAGAAATCAGGGCTGACAGGCTGCAGRGGTGTGGAGGAAGTGCATGCTCATGGTGCACAGAGCACTTTGGGGGAGCTGATAATCCCMAAATCTCTGATTTGTACCTGCCCCRTCCTGCAGAGCAGGGATGGCAACAATAAMCCAGGCTCTGGCTACTGGCAGAGGCAGAGAATGACCCAAAAATTGGTCATGGCACCAACAGCAGCCTGGAGGATGCTGAAAATGTGAGGAACAATCTGGCTTTTGCAAAAAAAAAGGGGATCTGCTGGGGCTTTCCCAGCTCTGACTGGGTGCCAGGGGCTGTCGGACAGTGGGTGGGAGAAGAACCAGGTCTGCAAAATGACCCCTCCCCAAAATCTCCTTTCCTTGTGACCTAAATGATAACTCCAGCCATGCAGCTAGTTGGTTTGATTGGGAAACCAGCTCTTCCCCTTGTTATCCCATTTGTCAGACAACCCATGTCTATCTGGAGTGGAGTCTGCTGTGCATAAGCTGTCAGCCCAGATTCACATTTAATTCCAAAGAAGGCGTAAATTGGCAAAGACACAAAAAGATGTTTTTTTGCTGTTTCAGTTCCTGTCAAACTCTTACTGAAAAGAAAAATTATGGAAGTCTCCTCACAAATGTTAGTGGTCAGTGCCCTCTTTTGCTTGCAAAGCTTTTTTTTTCAAGCAGCTACAATATTTACATTTGCAGTGCAGTTCCTAAGTGTGGGCTGGAGCTTCATGTTGCATTCCCCCCACAAAAAAAAAAAAAAAAAACACCCCAGGATTGTGATTTATGAAGCTGTGCTTGCAGGAGACAAATATCTCTGACAGGATTCCACTTAAACTGGACAGGGAGAAATTGCCAGCTCAGGCTAGAAATCTTTCCCTCCAAAAAATGCTGCAATTAGTAAATCCTCTGATTCACCTATTCCTTCAGCAAGTTTTTAAGCTTTCCAGTGTATTTTAATMACTTCTAGGCTTAATATTTAATATTAGTCTATAATAAAGGAGCAAGCCATTACAGTCTGAGCAACAGGATGTTTTTTGAGATGCACATTTCTCCCAAAACTCCCTCAAACCTCCCAGTCGGTCAGCTGTGAGCTGTGGCACAGCGAGGTGCACCTCTGGCCCTCGGAGGAAACCGTCTGGATTCCTTCCAGATTTCAGGAACAAACTCACAATGAGCTGAAGGAAGCTCGGATGTTGAAGCAAACTCTTTAACCTGATTAATGGGATGTAAGTAAGTGGAGCTAATTAGTGGTGCCGTTAGGGAATGGCCTGGAGGAAACCYGGCATCGGCGCTTTGGGTCCTGGTCCCCAGCCAAAACCTTGGGGTTACACCAACCCCAGCCTGCCTGGGCTCTGGACACCTCTGAGTTTTGCAGAGGGATGGTTTGGAAATCTTCCTGTGAAATTCAGGAGCTGGAGAAGCGGAGTCACCATTTCCTGGTGTGCCTGGCTGAGGGGGGAGGAGAGGAAGCTGGTGGTTCCCGTGCAAGGAGCATCCTTCCTGGGATTCCAGAGGGGAAAATATCCATAAATCCATAAATCCATAAATCCAAGCTGTGCTCAAAGATCAGCAGCCACCTGGGCAATGATGGACCTGCTCATAGAGTTTCAGGAGTAGGATTAGCCCTTCCTAGAGTCAGAGCCCTACCCCAGTCATTTCCTTCCCTCTCTCCTTCCCTCCCTCTCTTCCCTTCTTTTCTTTCTTCCTCTTTAATTTTTTCCAAGACAATTTTCCCCTTYTCTCTCCTTTGTTTTTTATCCTAACTCAGACRTGGGCTACAGGAACACAACAGAGCAAATGATTTTCCCTCTGCAGAGCATTTCTGCCAGGAGATTTCTGCACAGGTTCAGTGCAAAACCAGCTTATAATGTGGATGCTAAAAGCAGCCTTTGAACTTCCAGAATATTCATCCCAGGGTCAGAGATTAAATTCCTCCCTGCAATCTGAAAGCTCAGTGCATTCTCCCTGCAAAAAGGTTTATTTGGATGGGCCTGGTTGAAAAGAAAGGAAAACTCAGGCTCTTTAGGAAGCACCATTTCTGAAGTGCTGGAGGAGGAGCGTTGGCCCTGCACATATTTTGGGATATCAGRCACTTCAGTGTGGGCTCCTTGCTCTCTCCTGTGTGAGGGAGTCCCTGAGCAGCCCCATCCCACAGYCCTGGCAGGCCCAGCAAGGGCATTTTTAATTCCCAGTTAATTCCCCATGTCTCCTAATCCAATCTTGCCACCAGCCCTGGGAGTTTTTACTGGAATTTCTTCCAGATCGTACATTATTGAAGGGGGAGGGGGTGTGGATGCTGCTACCATGAATATTTCTGGTGTGAATTCAGGTTCATGGCTGTTTGTAGGAAAATTCTAAAGGGACCACAGATGCCACAAAGCAACTCTGACTTTCTGCCATTTGGTAACAACTTGATCAACTGCATTTTCTTATTTTCSATTGTGGTGTGGGGAGATTCCTTTTCTTTCTCTTCTTATTAAATCAAGGCATTTTTTTAAGAAATATTTTATTTTTGATACAGACACAGCCGGTGAAGTAGCAGTAAAAAACATCACCCCAAAGAGGCACATGGCTTTGAAATGTTTTGGTATGTAACATGACTGTATTGCTATCAGGTCTGAACTTGTGCACAAAGAGCATTTTTCCTTGTTCTAAAAGCAAACCCTCTCTCAGCTTTCCAAGGGCTGCCTACCTAACGTGGCCATAGGGGGACAAACCAAAAAAAATATCAAAGTGTCTCAAGTCATTTCGCAAATAACATTGTTCTGTTGCTCTCCCTAAATGAACAAGAGTTTCTTTGATTTTTTTTTTTTAATTTTTTTTTTAAAGTCAAATTTAGGATTCTGCTGTTGGGAGCAGAGAGGTCACAAGGCCCTAATGTATTTAGCATTGACTGCCCTCTCTTGTAGTGCGTCTATTAGTCAGTAATTTGATTTGTACCTATTCATTTGCAGTCCCTGCAGGAGCTCTGAGCTGGCCCCAAGTATAATTGGTGCTGTCTCTATTTTTACATCATTAGATTAGCCCCGACTCCTGGCCACTTGTTGTCTGCGCTTGTCTGTCCATTTATACAACCTAATGTAACACAAAATTCATTACTGATCACATTACTTTCAACTCTGAAGCCAGCTTTGTGATAAACATTTTGTTAACCCTTCCCTGCCGGCGCACAGACCCGGGGCATAAATGCACTTTGCCTTTGCAGGAAAAATCGATATCATAATAAAACAAAGTGCAGTCACATTTCTGGATTTGTCATTCCTCCCAGAGAAAGAGATGGGGAGGAACATATAGGAGATGACTAAATGGTGTCTGCATCCAGGCATYTCGCTCTGCTCGATATGAAATGAGCTCAGCACTGTCCTTCCTACTGGAATATGAAGAAGTGACACGAGATAGGGCCAGCACTCAATTTAAAACTTAATTTCTTACTCATTGTTCTGCAAGTGTTTTAGCTCTTCTGGTCAGGCTGTAATCAGGTTATGACATTATTGGAACTGGGCATTTTTCTTCCAGTGCTTTGTCTCCAAAGCAGCAAACAGAGACACGGTTCCCCTTTTTCCTTAGAGATTTGTTGCTGTGTTGGGCTTTTCTGGTTTGCTTGGGGTTGTGGTTTCTCCTCCTAATGACTGAGCAAATTAACTGCAGCGCTCCCGAGTTTCTCAGGGCAATTCCAAGCTCTGTCCTGTCCGGCTTGGCTTTGCTCACATTTGATTGTCTGCTGAGTCCCTCCTAAAGCATGAAGCTGTTTGCATTTTGATTCAGCTGTTTGCTGTTGAATTCCAGGGGGACCCAGAGSAGATCTGTGGTAGGTATTGCAGCCAGGGCTGAGCATCCTCCAACTCACGGCATCCTTGCTGCCCAAATTAATGTTGGTGCAACAGCAAAAGCTGTTGGCTTTTAACAAGTTTGCTAAATTCRTTTTCTGTTTGTACAGCTTGGCTTGGAAATCTGTTATTTGGGGTTTTCTAAATATTTGGAAATATTTTGCAGTGTTTATTAAATCTTCCCTTTAAAAGTCCGAGGCCTGAAGGCTGCCCCACACCAAGCAGACCCACACTGGGAAAGGGGCAGGAGACAACAGGATTTTTCCATCTGTAATTTCTATAATTACCTTGTCATTCCTTTTAGGAGTCATTTCTATGGTGTTTTTGTGTAGGATGTGACTTATGGCAATCATATCTCTCTCAGTAAGCAGAGGAGCCCTCGTCTCCCAGCATTCGAACCGGGGCTGGTATTTTTACAGCTGTTTYGTGAGCCAAAACTCCTTGCAGCTGCTGAGGTGGTGGCAGAATAAAGACAAGACAGTTCCTGTCCCTCCTCCCAAGCCCAGCAGCCCCAGAGAGCTGCTATTTGCTGATTTTTTTGGGATGTGCAGCGCAGGCCATCACAAAGCTCTCATAMACCATGCATTGCCCTCTCCAGGGGAGACAGGAGAGGAGGCTGTGGGATGGAAACCCATTTGGGCAATAAATTGTTGAGCAGAGGAGCTGTTAAATGAACACTTATTAGAGAGGTAGGATGGAATTATGAGTCACCAAACAGCAAAATACACATTAGCACAGCAAACCCCTGCAGGAAATGGAAAAGTCAAGAGCCAAAACGATGCCAAGCRTTCCTGTGTGAGCCAACCCTCTGCTCCTGCAGCTTCCATTCCCCTCAGCCCCTCTTCCACCCCATGGATMTGCTCCTGGTGCTCTGGCACAGCAGGCACAGGCCTTTTGGGCAGCTCCAGGGTGCCACCTGTGCCCTCTCCTCCCTGTGTCACCCCCGTGCCTTGCTGTGACAGAGCAGCACACCCAGGGTCACCTGGGTTTCTCAGTGATCCTGCCTTGCTCTCCMTGGAGGGCTCTGAGAGCATCAGTGATGGTGTTGGGTGTTTGATGCCKTAGGGGATGTGGTCAGGAAAAAAGAGAGGGCCAGGGGAAAGGAAAAACCAACCCAAAGGGGGTTTGGCTGGGGGAGGATCTCCCTGATTGATGGAGGCTSAGCTGAGCCCCACGGGATCAGCCCCAGTGGCTGCCCCTGGAGGAAGGAGGGTTGTGGCCAGGTCCCTGGCACTGCTGGGAACACTTAGTCCTCCTTGAAGGATATATCCTCATTTGTGGTATGAAAAGATTAGCTTTCCTTGCATCCCCAGCCTGCTGTCTCCCCACCATGGATAATACATAAAACAGTAGACTTTTATTCATTAACATTTATGGGAAAATGTTAATATTAAACTGTAAGTGAAAAGCCCCATCTTATTGAATTCTTCTGCTGTGTTATTGGGAGCCTAATTTCATTTTGCATTTAAATAAAAACCAGATGACGTTCGGGACGGTCGGGCAAGCATTCTGTAAGTGAGAATTTATCTTGCAATCTGGGTAAACAATGTCTCATCATTTAACAGTTATTATAAATAATGGGGTTTTAAGCACTTTGCTGGGAGTTCATATTGGCTCCACACGGGTTGCACTAAGGGAGAGAGAATTTCAGTGACATCTTCCAGGCATCCGGTGAGGAGGAATCATATCCTGAGCTCGCTTCTCGGGCTGCAGCAGTTTTCATCCTCCTCTGGTTATTATTGCTCAATTTTGTGTGCACCAGCCCCTGACCAAAAAATTATTAAAAAAAAAAACCACTAGAAGGAAAATGACAAATTGGTTGGAAGCATTTTAAAATGGAAAAAAACCTGTGTTTAAAGCTTCTGCACAAAAGGGAAAAATGTTCAGGCCCCTGCAGAGGTTCATGCAGGTAGCTGAGCCCCCAAAATGGGGATTCTTTCTGTAAAAACGGGGCTGTGAAAAATCTGTGCATTCACAGAGAGTGAAAAAGATGTTGAGGCAAAACATAAAGACAAAAAGATCATGAACCAGCTGCTTTTTTCTGTATTTCTGCTAGTGCCCTCTGAAATGGCATCACTGGTGGTTTTATGCTTAGGAATGCTGAAGGTAACTTATAAAAAGAGTAAGAACTGCTAGGAAAAGGTAAATAGCTCTTTGCCCACTCCTGTTGCTTCTCTTCAGCTCTTCAGCACTCTTTCACTGAGGTGGCAGCACTTTAGTGCTCTCTGGCTTTGCTCTGTGTCCCTCAGCCACACCGAGAGCCTCAGAGATCCCTCCAGGGCATTTCCCACAATGGGCAGGAGCAGCTTCCCCACGCTCTGTCCTGCATCCTGGGCATGGTGGGAATTCATTCTCCATGCAGACAGGGGGTGAATTTTAGGAGCAACTGTTTGCTCTTGTGGAAAGATGTGGAATTTGGGAGCTCCTGCTGCTGGCGTGTCACCTCCCTGTGACACAGCTGTCCCAGGACATGAACTGCTCWCTGCCATTTTAGCCCATTTTCCAGAAAGACCCCCCAGCTAAAACACCATCTTCTCTTATTTATTTGTTTCTGATATTTATTTGTTATTCCCTTGGTCAGTGACTTTCTCAGTAAATGCCCAACACATGAACTCTGTGTTTACACCAAAACTTGATGGTGTTGTGAAAGACAAAGGGTCAGCRCTGCTTCTCTGACTCTTCCCTAAGATGGTTTTCTGGGAAGGCTGYAGGGAGGAAGGTGCTGGCTGGGTCACCCATCAAAATGGGAGCAAAACTCTACAAAAAAGAGCCCAAAATGAGGAGCAGGATAAATACGAGGCAGAATCTGCCCAGCCTGAGATGATTTAATTTCCTTTCCTCGGGGGTGTGACCAGAGGAATGCCTCAATTTACCTTTTGGGCTTTCAAATCTCCCACAGGTTTCCCTTCCACCAGCTCATCCACACCTTTGTAAGATGGAATATTAACAGAATCAATGCTTGGAACYGTTTTTTTKAAAAGCAAAAAASRTCAATTGACTATTTCCAGCTGCCTYCTGGTTTCAGGAGCACAAATGTGAATTTCTGTGTTCAACAGCTCCATTAACAAAGGCATGAATTAAGCTTTGAATGTCATTTTTATCAAGGCTCTTTCATATTTATGCCTAACATCAGAATTTGGAGCTCTATTAATAAAGAGAGAGTGTATTAAGAGCCTCAAGCAGCCCTGTGAGGGAGTGGGCTACTGCTTTTCCAGGCTGGATTAATACCAGGCAAGGTAGAGCTGTGATTTTAAGGGAAATTTCACTGCTTGGTGAAATTAGGGGAATGATTTTAAGGGAATTACTGTGAGCTCTGAGTGCTGGGTGAAAATAGGGCTGTGTTTACCAAACTGGCCCGCTTGAAGCAGCCATGTCAACATCATCTTTAAAATAATTGACTGAATAGACTAAATAAATTGCATTCTGACCTGGGATTATTTGGATGGGCTCGGAGGTCCTCGGTGACTCTGAACTGCTGCCAGGGCAGTGGGAGGAGGAGGAGGATGGTCCTGATCTCCACCTGAGCTCTCCCAGCTCCAGAGCCTTGAACTGTTTAGAGGAGCAGACGGGGCTGAGGCTGTGGTGACATCATTTCGTGAGCTTCAACAAAACTGCCCTGATTTGGACCAGCTGAGCATCTGCTCCCCCCCCAAAAAAAAAAAACTTTTTAACTTTTCCTTTGAATCAAACCCAAATTCCAGTCTGGTCTCGCTTCCTCCTCAGCATCAATCTGCACCAGGGGAGCAGCCCAGAGCCTCTC